TAATATAAGGCTTTAAACATCCATAAATAAGCTATCAAATGGTATATAGATTAATCCAATGAGTTAATCATGGTTAAAGTTATTACAGTTTTAAAACGTCCGCGTTTATGTGACTCAGGTTTTGTACTGTATCAAAGATGCGAAATTCAATGTTTTTCCGGACAAAAACTTGTTATACAATACATGACTCGAATGAAAATTATAAAAAGAAAATCATAATTTACACAATTGGACTGTTTAACTAGAGCAAGACTGGTAACAACAAGTTCAATTATCTCCTAGCTCATTCATAATAGCGAATATCTGACTTCACAGAATTATAACCAGATACCCGAGGTACAAATTCGCTATTGAGACTATATGTAGAATGTGCATAGTTATTTGTAAAGCCTCTATTTTTCGTGAACTCCCGAACAAAATTAGTGAATCAATAAAATGAATAAAAACATCGGGAATTAAAGTTAGGCTTTAATACTTTACATAACGTTAGGCTTATGGGCAGAAACACGACAAATACAGTTCAAATTGGATATAATATACACATGAAATTTTCGAAAAGTGGGGATTATAATGAAATGTTGATTATAAGGAACTTATATTCATTTCATGTATAGGCTTTTCTAGACTCTAATTATAACATTCTTATTAATATATATTAAAACCAGGCAGAATAAAATAGGGGACATTAATAATATGACGTGGTTATTGAATCACCAAGGTGTCTTTAAAATATAGACTTTATATTAGAGTACACTATATGTGAGTAACAAATGAATAGTGTATAAATTACAACACAAGGGTTATATGCTGGGTGCGCTGACGTGCAAATAATGCCTGCTTATAATATATATAATAAGTTATTATATCTTAAAAACAGATTTTTTCAAGTTTTATTCAACATTTTATTTAATTTGTCAAATTAGTAAAGTTTTTAGAATAATTTTAACATTTTCCGCAATTCTCATAGCGGTTGAAAAGTGGGGCCACTATTGAAATATATTCTGTATGGCTTTCAATGTGAAAGTGCTTTATAGTTATGAAAGTACAACTCAAGAATTGTTCGCATAGAGAATAATGTGCTGTTTATTTGTTTGCCAACAATTATTCCATCAGTTTTCATAGAATTGTAGCATTAATTTGTGATCTAATTGTATATAACATATAGTTTATATAAAAATACTTTTAATTAATGAATAAATGAGTTTAAGTTATTCCTGTAAACATCAATAAAAATGGTCTCATTTTATTTTTTATTAATTTCACTTATTTTATGAATTTATTAAAACAGCATTTCTTTTATCTAAAAGTTTTCAATTAAAATAATTAACATTTAATGCAAATTAAAAGAAAGTTTAATTTGACATTTAGTGAACCAAATAATACAGAATATTCTTCAGAATCTAAACCCTTAATCAATGGTAATGTTGTTTATGAATGACTCGACAATACATGACATGTGTTGACAGTATTCACTGTTTGTAAACAAAAGTGAGTTTCAGTTGTGAGCGAATACTTGACTGGAGAGGAATGGATGTGATGGGAGACCAAGAGCTGATCCCATTGTGTGATATAGACTATGATGTGTACCGAAACACATGTACTCCAGTGCTCATCGATTGGGGGGCCTATCGGTCGAGGGTTGGGTTCGCCGACCGCTCAGAACCGCAACTCGTATTCAGAAGTCTTATATCGAAACAGAGGTCTAAAAAGGATTCACACGTTTTGGTGGGCAATGATATCGTCGACATCGAGGCAGTCAAACGCGTCTTGAGGTCACCGTTCGAGTTGGATGTGGTCACACAGTTTGACTCAATGGAAACCATTTTCGACTATATCTTCGCCAATCTGGCCATCGATACGAATCGTGTCAATCATCCCATTGTCTTAAACGAGGCCTTCTGTGTCCCCCTTTGGACGCGAACTAATACTCAAGAGTTGCTCTTTGAATGCTATGACATCCCATCACTCCTGTTAGGCGTCGACTCACTCTTCAGTCTTTACCACAATTTGCCGGACATAAGCAACTGTTTGGTCATATGTTTGGGTCATTACACGTGTCATATCATACCAGTAATAGACGGAACCGTTGCGAGTGAGCACTCGACCAGGATCAATTTGGGTGGACTTAATCTAAGCCTATATTTGCAACGATTAATGCAATTAAAGTATCCGAAACTCACTCAAGAGTTTTCGTTCACGAAATGCGAACAAATGGTGCAAAAGTTTTGTCACTTCTCTTCGGATTATCATTCAGAGAGTTCCCAATGGAGTCATGAATTGTATTACAACCAAAATGTCAAACTATTCAAAGCGACTAAAACGGTGGCCACCGATGGCTCGCAGCCTTTGGTTTCGGAAAATTTTGTTCAAAGGACCCAAAGATTGCTTAAAAAAGTGAAAACCAATGTTCATAAGAAACGAGAGAAACAGGTATTGCTTGCAATGGTTTATGAAACAGACATTTGATTCAGATTTTCAATCCATAGCTTATAGAATGGGAAGAAAATAGAAATAAATTCAAAGCTTTACTGGAATTGGTTGAAGACGAGGAGATGGCAGACCCGGCATTAGTTGCAGTGAGTTATCATTTATAACTGTTCTCTGAACTACTATTACAATAGTGTAATATTGAATGCATTGCATATTTACAGAAAGCCTATCAAAACGCAGGCGTAAGAAATTTAAGTGAATTGAAGTCTAAATTGAATGAATTGAATGTCGAAATCAAGCGAATAAAGATTCAATTGAACCCAAAATCAGTGCCTGAAATGACAGTAATTGATGAGATAAATGAATGGCAAAACCAGAACACTTACGATGAATTGCAATGGACTTCATATGTGAGGCAATTGCGGACCAATAAGATCGGCGAAAACGCTTGGATTTTGAACGAACTTTTGCGGGAATTTGAATTGGAGTCCAAACGACTGAAAAGGGTTGGAGTCGGCGATAATGTGATTGAATTTGGACCCGAACTCATACGAGTGCCGGAGCTTTTGTTCTCACCCAACGCTCTCATACAGTACTCTCAGTGCGGTATCAGTGAAGCCATTGAAGCGGTTATCAAACAATTGGATAATCCAGAAATCAGTCAAGTATTGAATTAGTTTTAACTCTTATAAAACATAATATATTCATAGATTAATTGGGATATAATTGCAGACCATTTTCCTAACGGGCGGCTGCGCTCATATCGATGGCATTGCCGAACGCATCGAAAAGGACGTGACATCCATCCGACCCTTTGGATCACCGCTTTCTGTGATTAAAGCCCGTGAGATATGCTTTGATTGTCATTTACTGAATGCTATTTATTGAATGAATTGTGATTTAAATAACAGAAGACGTGTCACTCGACAGTTGGAAGGGAGCGAAAGACTCGTCTCAACGCTTTGCCGATAAATTTGTTACTAAAGAAGAATATTACGAGTTTGGGCCCGGATTTGTCAAAGAGTTTAAGTGCTCTAATCGTTATAACTTATAACATCTAACAGTCATTATTTTTATAATCATTTTTAGAATCATTCATATGTAAATTATTTATTTGTTAATAATTTTATATTGTTTTTTGTGTATATTTTGTATATATTTTTGTAAAATAAATTATTTTTAAAAAGTTTTAAAAAAGTCTAATAAACATTATTTTCACTGATTTGTTAACCTCTAATAACGTTACGATTATAGGGGGCGGGGGTTATAATTGAATTGTTAATTATTTGAGTATTTTAATTATTTT